TACAACATGCTGACTAAAGAAGCGGGTTTAACTTAAAACAAAAGCTGGCAGTTATTCTCGATTTTTGTTGCTTTTAACACTTGTTAAATCGAATCGAAAATGATAAGTAAGACAGTGAACGCCCTCTTTCTTACTTCGAAGTTAACATGCTAGTTCTTAACGGTAGTGGCGCACGTGGCGACTAGTAGAACCAAAAACTGTTGTCAAAGATATAACATTCCAGGAAAGATTTGTTATTGTTGGTTCAGTTTTTTTTTTTTTTTTTCAGTTGTGAAGGAAGTTTTTTTTCTTTTACAAAATGCCAAAAGTCAGTTGAAAGATATCAGATATGACTAATCAAATCTTTGATTTAAAATGCAATCTTTGATTTCTGTGAAAAAGTATATGATGAAATGGGAGGATTGTTCCTTGAATGTTTAGAAGATAGACAATATCTGAACTGATTAGATAAAATTAGATAGAACAACTGGTTCGCGAACCCAGTAATGAATATTCTTACTGCATAGGATTTTTTGGAACGTAAAAACATAGTTAATGAAGATCCCATGCCTCCACTAGAACGAGGGTATGAGGACAGGTTAGAAATTAAGAAAAGAAATGTATTGCTCGAATTTAATTAATTAACAATAAATAACTAGCTGTACTATTCTGCCGACCGTGATTGTTTCCCTAAGTCAAAGGGTTAACAGTCTGACACAATTAACACAGGCCCAACTTCCTTAGATCGAATTATGTTGAGTAGCCGATTTTTAACTGACCTACGTTATCAATTTTCTCAATCTAACTCGACTTAACAGAGTTAACAGTGTTGTCACAAGGATCGTGATGTAGATATGCTCTTGTGGATGGTGTATTTTTAAATATTAACGATATTGTAGAGTGTGATTCTTCAGACAGGAAAGAGCTTGAAGTTTTGCCACTTTCTTATTCTTTGCACACGTTTCGGAGCGTTTTGCTCCTTTTTCACAGCCTAAGGAATAAGAGGTTGACAAAACTTGTGAAAGTAAAGTTTATTAATCTTTAAAAAAAGACCAACTTCCTCAAAAATAAACAATCGGATAGGTCGTGTTTTTTCTCTCTGGCTCTATTGTTACTCTACTTTTTTTATATCTGATGTTAATGTACCTATTATTTAGTTTTGCATTATTCAACAATAAAATAGATAATAGGTATATTTATTTTGTATTAAGCCAGAATACAAAATTCAATAAATTCTCACTGTAGTATTTATTATTATTAACCGTAATTATTATTGATAATTATTTAACCAGAATCACTGTTTTCGCCTTAGTTGTGTTCGGTTAGATTTCAACGCACGGTGCGGAGGTCTTGCGGTTTTAGCCTAATCAGCGCCTCGATTCAACCTCTCATTCATGGCATGCCATAATTCAGTTACGTGTTTAAATCTACATTTATTAATACATTACATTATACTTCGACCAGGGTTTTAAGCGCGTTTATATGTATTTGTTTTTTAACATAATAAACCACATAATAAAATAATATATTATCTATTAACTGGCAAAAAACAGTTACTTTTTAACCATAACTACATTTATTATTACTATTACCATTAGCATTAAAAACGTTTAAATATATTTTTGGTGAGTATGTAGTGAGTACTATGAGAGTACGTAGTGGTTTGGGCCAAATGGCGTTCTACTTTACAAACCGTTCCTTCCTGCAAGGGGTCATAACGGTTGTTAAGAGAAAACTGTAAATATACTCGATTTCTACCATACGCATTTGTATCTCAAGCAATCAAGGCTTTATTTTCTTCCGAATCATCTTATACAAACGTTTATCTGGCTGAATATCCTAGGCATACTATTAGTTCTTTTATTGGTGAAAAGTTTTTCCAGATTTCAAGATAACATTTCTTGCCTGTGAGATCCAAGTTCTTGAATTGTACTAAACAAGGGATTCGACGTCTTTATTCTGCGTTTCGTTCTTGTAATTGATACTGTCAAAACCAAACAGTTTAATCTTAATTATCACCGTTATTATACGTTTTCTGCTTGATCCAGTTATTTTATGAGTGAAAATATAGCCTCGAACCAAAGAGTTTTAACATTTCGCGATTAATTGCTCATTTTGACCAAACCAGTTTACAAACACAATCGTTATCGTTAAAATTTGAAAAGGTGGCAAGGACTTCATAAAGTTCGGTGAGAAACTTGTACGATGAAGCGAACAAGTTTACCCAAAAACGACAACTCCATCGCAGGAATTTAGCAAACGTATTGGTGTAACTTCACATGAGGCAAAAGTTCATGCTTTGTTTGTTTTATTTTTTTATAAAACGTATCTTAATTATTTCAAAATAAGATTCCTTTGATTGGAGGACCGGTGGCAGATCACCGGCCTCAAGGGGGTTAATCAAACCTTAAAAGACGGAATATAATCATTCGTTAAAAGGACCCCCCCCCAATAAATTTTACTTCGAATTTTATGTTACTTCCTTATATTGAATACCACCCCCTACGTTTTTAATGGTTTACAAAAAATGTTAATTTGAAATTAGAAAGGGTTAGTTTAAAGGTCAAGAGCGTTAATTTGATGCGAAAGAAGGTAATTTCAAATTAAAAAGGGTTAATTTGACGAAAAAGAAGCTATATGAACAAGTGTTGTTTTGGATTTGTCTTAATCTTGGCTCCAGATTTCTTTCAGGCAAGTGTACCACGTAAAAAATATGTTCTTGACATGTTGTTCGGTTTTTATGCTCTGCTACTGTTTGTTTCTTAAAACTCTTCTCTTAAACTCTCTCTTAAAACTGTGATAAAATGCTAGTAGTCAACGTCAAGAAGGATCGTGTCGGTTTATTGTTTTGCTGCAATTCCTTGCATATTTAATAGTATATAGTATTTTTCTCTCAAATTAATCATTTTTTCAACCAATTTAATAATCGTCTCAACCAATTTTATAATCGTCCCTTTCGGGATTTTATAGCGGAGAAAATACACACTGATGAAGTTGCTAAAACCCTTATTTAAATTTAAAAAGTGTAAAATTCATCAGAAAATATAAATATCTGCAAAATGATAACCGGGAACAGTTCACTCTTTTGCGATTTTTTACGCGAGCTGTTTACAAAACTTGGGCATTCATTATGTAATGCCTTAATTTCATTATGTAAGTTATGGACAATGCCAGGTACCATAAAACTCCTGAGGTTAAAGGGTTGTGAAATCATTTTCTCATACGATTCTGCCACCCTACTCGCCAACTCTAAACCCCGCAGAATCCGCGTTCTCCAAGTTACAGATGCTAGGACCCTGTTAGCTGATGCCAAAGGAACTCACAACTTGAGAGAAATAATAATGCCAAAATTATCATTTTTCAAATATTTTTGTTTTTTGATCAAATTATTTTACTTTTTTCATTTAAATAAACTTTCCCATACAATGGAAACTTTCTTACATTCCAAAACCCCCATAAAAATTTAAGCTCCGCATCATCTTATCGTCCTGTTAGTTTGTTACCCGTTCCTTCGAAATTATTCGAAAAATTAATTTACAAAAGAATAATCTCTATTGCTACTTCAAACAACATCTCACCAGACCGTCAATTTGGTCCGAACCCATCATTCCACTTCTCATCAACTTCACGGAGTTATTAAATTAAATAAATTCACTCGATTTCGTGGTCTGATCAATAAATATCTTTCAATTAATTAAGGCTTTCAGTTGAGATAAAACAAACAAAAGTTTAACAACAAGTATAGTATTTAGTGAGTAATAATAAATGATTTTTTGGAGATCGTGAGATGCGGTCTTGTGTGATGTTGGTTTAGAAAAAAATTTCTTTATTGTGCCAACGTTTCGATCTTTATTTAGATCATCTTCAGAATCTGGGACAAATAAATAATTTTTTAATAATTATTATTTATTTTGTCCTTTTTGTCCATGTCTTTTATGGGTGGTAATAATCTATTCACCCGTGTATATATTTGTAAAGTAAATTGTTTGTTCCATTCTTCTTTTTTATGATATTTAATAATCTTTCTGTCAGGCCATTAACGTCCAAAAACCTTATGGACTTTTTTGGATTTATATTGTTTTCCACGGTCTTGGTACTATTGTCATCGGTTGCTTCATTATAAAATCGGAATTTTTCTGTATTTATGATTATATTAATTAATTTTGTTGGAAAATTATGTTTTTGTAAGGTTCTTTTTATATTTTATAATTTTTGTGTGAAATGAATAGTCGCTAACTTTCAAGCATCTTCTTACATTATTTCTGACTACGTTACATTTTTGCTTGTATGGGTGCGATGAAAGTAATTAAGTACTATTCCGCTTGTATTCGGCTTTTTATGTAGATTTATGCTGAAACTGTGGTTGTCGGCTCGTGTAATAAACAAATACAAGAACGCTATACTTTTAGGAGTTTCTATTTCTGTGGTAAATTTTATTTTTTTATGTTCTTTAATCTAAACTTCCAACATTACATTATAGTTTTTCTTCTATATGCATACCAGGGTGTCATCTACGTATTTTTTAGGAATATTATTCTTAAATTTTCTGATATCATAACCTTGTTTTTCGGTGATATATATTTCTGCTACAACAGAAGATAAGCTACTTCACATTAAATGGTTTATACATATTTTGTTATTAAATGTGAAATATGAATTTTTTTGACATAGGTCTAAGATTTCTCAAAATATTTCTTTTTTATATTTGTAAAATGTTTTAATGTATACCATTTTTTTTTTTAATTATATCTATTATTCCCATTAATTATTCTTTTCATCTAAGGATTTTGGTTGAGATGAAAAATTGGTTGAGATAAAAAGTTGTAGATAAAAATGAATGAAGTGAATAAAAGTATTTATTTTCTCCCCTGATTATAACATATAGAATTGATTGAAAAAATTATTAATTTGACTGAAAGATGCTATGATATATTCTCGTCCTTGTCAAAGCACCTTTTCCGTGGTACGTCCTGTTCCAGAAGAGGGGGTCCCGCGGGTAGTGGGAGCGGTCCAAACGATGCCCGTATCGGGAGGGGATGCGGCCGTACCCGTACGGTTTCCACTTTTCCAGTCGTGAGCGTACCTCCGTCCCTGGTACTCTTCTGCCGGAGTTCATCCGCTTTAAGAGGCCCTTTCTCCTCCTCTCAACGGCTGGAGCAGATGTGGCCCATGTGTTTTGTTCTTCTATATTTATATATCGTTGCATCCGCCGAGGAGACAACATGATGTGCGCCAGGGGACTGAGGAAGAAGAAGAAGTGCTCTGTCGACTCTGGCTCTGGAAACTGCTACACAAAGCACTCAGGTGAGAAAGGTATCCGCGACCTACTATAGAAAAAAGGTTTTCGACAGTCGCAGAAATACGTCATTAAGCAATTTGCGAAACAAGATACGACAAAACAATTAAAGCTAAAATTTCTGTTTTTCCTGTTAGCGTTCTATCTCGATATACTGCCGCCCAGGAAAAAAAAGATTTTCATGCGATGTGTACTATACGTAAGTAGGTTAGATTGTTTAAAAATAAATACGTACGATGATATTGACGCCAGATTGCTAATTCTCTTTATTTCTTTCATGGGTTCAAATCCCATCCGTGACATTGACCTTTTTATCTCAAATTTCGTCTCTATAAAATCTAATATTAAAAAAAAATAAGACAAAACCGATAAAACCATTAATCAATTCTTTTTATTGCCCACGAAGAATATGGAATCCCCATATAAATTGTAATTCTTGAAAATTGTCAGGTATATTTTTAATCAAAAGACCAGTATTTAAGCAGCTATTTGTTCCACGCGCGCATGAATTATAAGACATTGTCTAAGGAAAAAGTAAATAATTAAAAAAAACTAAGTTATAATTATAATCCATATCGTCCTACTGATAATTGTTTCACAGCTAGAATTTAGGAGGAAAAGTTAGGACTGTCTGATTTAACCCCGATATTTTTTAAATAAATTTAAAACGCACATCCAGACATTCTACGTTGTTCTGTAAAAACGACCAGTTTTCAGAACCGCTAGTCTAAAACGCATCCCACTTGATAACCCATTAAATTATCATAATTATAGTGTAACTTGAGACATTAAAACTCAATGAGATAGACTTTTAAATAAGTATTTCAACTTAAAACGCCATGTAGTATTTTCTGTACTAAAGTTTCCTGAAAAATATTTATCGGATATGAAGAAAACTTGTTGCTTGTCGGTCTTACAGTTCGATCATTACTGACGTCCCAGGTCCGCCTATTTCCGCTTGTACTTTACACGGTGTTCATTCACGACAGGATAACCGGATCTAGAGATAACCACTTGGTCAATCCAGCTCACTGCAAGAATGTTTAGCTTATATTCTATACAAACCACTTATGCAGTTAGTTTTGTTAACGATCTTACATTTCTTTGGAAATGGAGCTTAAACGAAAGTATTTAACATGGTCTTTCAGTTTCCTTCCCATTTTGGCATTATCAGACGAGTTCTGGCCTTTTAACAGATCAAACAGCGACTTTTTTAATACTTAAATGGCCTCAAAACTAATTAGAATCATCTCATATGTTTTTGATAAATTAGGTGTATAGTACCACTGATGATGTGTTTTGTATGAGTGAGTGTATTTATTAGAGTGAATGGAGAGGGCTAATGGTGGAATAGCATCCCTATCGCCCCTCGAGCTGTGAACGTGACTTGAGTAGATGGCGGAATATTTATTAAAGTACCCCATCGACCCCAGTTAGATTAGTTTGTTATTGCATGCAGGTTGATGGAGGAATATTGGGCACTCCATCTACTAAATAGAATGAATGAAAAAAGGTGTGAATGTATTTATTTGTGTGAGTGCGGATGAAATGACCAAGCGATCGGATGCTCCTATATAAAAAAAACTGGTAATGAAAAAGAAAGAATACTAGAGAGAAGCCATAAAAAAGGTATTTTAACGTTTACACAAAGGTTAAGTAATTTTCCGCGTTATTTGAACTTTTTGATGTTAATGCTCAGCGATAACATCAAATTGCTTGCTCATGTAAGAGTGGAATCAGGTTTTCTTATGTTCATTTGCATCGCCTAGTAATCATAGGCTTGACTGTTACAAATGAGCGAAACGGTTCGACTCCGAGTCGGGAATTTTTGTTTAAAGCCGTTCTTTATCTTAAACTCATATGAATCGACAATAAACCTTAGTTATTTTTATTTGTTATTGCATCCAGTACCTGTCGCCGGTCGCGTGAGAATTTACCCAATCCAGTTCGTCCAGTCTTTTGTGCCTTCGTTATCCGTCCGAGCCCATTAGCCTTTTCCGCTAACTAATAGAAAATAATCACCGTCACATTTCTCTCCGGGTGGCACTCTCCACTGTTAGATCGGTCGTATCCTACTTAGCCTTTTGAATCTAATTGTATTCTTCCATTCTCCCATCGCATCGAAGATCCCGGTCTGTTCGTTCGCTTATCATCAGTTTATTTTTTTTATCGGTTGGGAACCGTTTGAGAACAAACGGATTTTTAGTTTTGATTTTCTCACGATTAAACCACGCTTCAGTTTACAGTTCAGAGGACAGTCTCAATCCAAAAAAAGTGATGTTTGGATCAAGAGTCCTTTCTACATGTTTACGCCCCAGAAAAGATTTATATCGGTATTTTCTGCCAACTTAATCCATTTTCTAATCAATTTATTTTCGCTACAAATTAACTATTTCTTTAAAACATCAAAAAATCCAGGAAGTGGCATGAAATGTAAGAACACAAGTAAAACAAAAGTACAATTCCAGCATTTAACAAACAAACAAAAAAATAATAATAATCGAGCCCTTACAAGACCATATTTAAATTAATTGCAATTAAAAATTATATAAAATTAAATACAAAAACATTCTTCTTCTTTTGACTATTTTTTAATAAAAATAATTAGGTTCTTAAAAACCACGATTTCTCACGATTTTGTAATTATAAGATGATTCCTTTATTTTTAAAATTAATTTTATTTAATAATAATAATAATGTGGGAAGTTTAGCCGGCCCTCTGCTCTTTATATAGTATAAGTATAAATATTTTTACAATAGTATTAATAATTATTCCAGTAATTTTTATAATACGCAACAAAATTACAATATTGTAATGTTCTTCTTCAAACCGTAGTTTGAAAATCAAATTTAATAGTTCAACCTTCACCCTCAATATTACTTTAAGTAGATCTAGTATCTGTATAGTAACTGTTTGCAATTGAGTATATACAGGGTGTGTCAAATTCTATAGTCCACTCATTTAATTTGAAAACGATTGACTTTAGCAAAAAATGGTCTTATATAAACTCCAAGTTAATTTTGGCAAGGAATCGCGTGGTGGTAACAGATTTAACATAACTTTCTCATCTAGCTCCGAACCGACACTAACTTTGTTATTTTAAATCAGGATCCCATGTTTTTATTGTACAGTACGATTCTAGAGCTTATGTATGGTGATTAGTAGTGAGTGGAAATACTTTGATTGAATATAAAAAAAGGTTTATTTGCATTGTATAAATTCACTTTTTTCCACATCCTACATGTTTTTGTTAAATTTAAACAACGATTGTAAATCACAGACCCTGAAGATGATCTCAGTAAAGATCGAAACGTTGGCACGATAAAGAAAATGTTTTTCTGAAATCTATATCACAACCGCATCTCACTATTTCTGAATAATCTAGAGCTTATTTTGATAGGACCAATTCTGAGTTATGCCCGACTGAAGAGCACGAGGGGAGTGAGCTTTTTGTAACAAGATGGCCCTCCCCGTTAATTTCGAAAACGATTAATTTTAGCAAAAAATGGTCTTATACAAACCCAAGTTAATTTTGGCTAGGAATCGCATGGTGGTCACAGATTTAACGTAACTTTCTCATCTAGCTCTGAAACAACACTAAGTTTGTTATTTTAAATCAGGATTCCAAATTTTTATTGTACAGATCGATTCTAGAGCTTACTCGATTCTAGAGCTTACTTTATGGCACTTTTACTGAAAGGAAAATTTTGATAGGATCGACCATTTCTGAGTTAAGCCCGGTTTTATTTTATTTTGAAAGCAAAAGATATATTCTCATTTCTTGTTGAGGTATTATCTCCCATTTTGTTTTCTTATCTAATTGAAAATATTTATTCAAAGAACATTTTTTTTACTAAAGTTAATCGTTTTAAAAATAAACATGGAGAGCTTCTTGCTGTTAAAAAAGGCATACCCCCTTCACGCGTCGGGTATAGCACAGAAATGGTCGATCCTTGGTCGATCCTATCAAAATTTTATTTTCAGTAAAAGTGACTTAAAATAAGCTCTAGATGTTAAACCTGTTACCGCCACGCGATTCCTAGCCGAAATTAACTGGGGTTTTGTATAAAACTATTTTTTGCTAAGTTAATCGTTTCTCAATTAAATGGGTGGGCGATAGAAGTTGATACACCCTGTATATATACATCACCTCAAATATAGAAGTCGGATCTCCTCCAGAGTACTCGTTATTCCTCGGGGCGGAGTCGAACCAATTCCATTCTCGCTAATAACATACTTAACCCTCTAGACGTCACACTGTCCAGAGTACTCGATATTCCTCGGGGTGGGGTTAAACAACCCTTTCCTTTCACGCTAACAAATTACCATAAACACAACACAAACACTACACATATATAAAAATCCCTACAGCCCTGAGGCACCGGAACAGCGAACTGTACCCACCGCCTTGCCCCAAGACTACGCACAGCTCTGACTATATTCCAAAATATTGCCTACGTATTCTTCTACAATTAAAAATATCTTCGTACGTTATTCTATCCTTGCATAACGGACACCTACGCGGTAGCTTCCGCCCAGAAAGTGCCGTGAGTTGTTCTTGTATGACCTATGCGCAGTCTTGTATTTTTCCTTTTCGATCCTTTTTCCGAGACCATGTTCTGGTGTCTTTCTTAATCTGCCACAGTTTAGCAGTTATTTCTATTTTACGAGCCCAGCGGTTTACCCATTCTACTTTAATCTCTTTTAATAGTTTCAAATTCGCTGAGCGTCCTGGTGGGCTCTCCGGCGGCTTCTTTGGCCGCCCTGTCTGCCAAATATATCGAAATTTTATATAATTTTAAATTTTAAGTATACTTAATTATCATATGTCTTGTATGAGCCTAATTATATTCTATTTAGGACAAATTCTCAAATTAAAATAATAAGAATTTGTTTTTATATGTCATTTTATGTAATGTTGAATTTTAATTGTCATTGAATGACTGATGAACGAAAGGCCCAGTGGTCTTCAGTCCTCTTTTGTCCGTTAAAAAGCACATTCGGTCA